TAGTTCCTCCTTAAGACATCAAAAACTAGGTCAAAAAGAACAACTGGGATATTTAAGAATCAGGTTTGCCTTTGGCTTTTATGATCAAGGATGCTTTTAATATTGAATGTTCAGCTGTCAACATCGGGACCGACTTAATAATAAATGTCTGACATTTCAGTCATTATTCGGAGTTTCTAATCCTTCCCTCCCCGCCAGTGCCTGCCTGTTTACTGAAAGATTCACGTTGGTGTTTGCACTGGGAGCCTGGGAGCTGAAATAGGAACGAAGCTCCTGGTAAATACCCAGCAGCTTCTCCCGGTGAACAAACGGCTCTGGAAGGTCAGCGGGCAGCACTGCTGGGGAGGAGAGGATGCCTGGGGAGGGCAGTGCTATGGGAACCTGCTAATAAACCCAGCACAGCAGTCCTGGCTGGCCAAAGCCTGGGCTGGCTGCCACACGTGGATCAGAGACCCTGTGGAGCTCCACGGGAGCGAGAGTGGCCGGCTGGGCTTTGCTGCTGCAAGAGCCTCTGGCCTCCTTCGCTTTGTGGGCTCCCACACCACTCCACAGGCAGTGTCCTGCTTCTTTTCCTTCTTCTTTTTTCCTTCTTCCTCTGCAGAAAAGCTCAATCTCAACAAGAGTTGCCTGACTTTTAGCGGGGCCAGCTTCCCACAGGGACATGTGGCTGGTTCAGCATCACTGCAAAGTGAGGGAACAACAGGAGGGGACATCTGCAGCCCCAGCACCCCTGCAAGTCATCTGTGGGATTTGTGGGAGTCACACCACACTGCTACTAGGCCTCTAGTTTTCATAAAACATAAAAAAAATGTTTAGGTTCTCTAAACTTTTCTTAGTTCTAAGGTTCTGACTTAACGTGTTGAGTGTTTGGGGGGCTGTTTTTATCTTTATGTCATACCTGGCAGCCTAATTACAGTCATTTCATTGCCTCAAACTATTTGAAAGAAGCTGCTACACATAATTATGTGCACAGAAGTGACACTAATGCCATGTCTAATACCACACAGGTACCCGAAGGGGTTAACACCACAGCTTGCAGCCAGGCCAAAATTCACATTTCCAGCAGCTTATCAGATAAGTTGTCCACCCTCTCCATGCCATGACACATGTTGTGCTCTGGGTATTTTTTGTTATATTTAGCAAAGCTAGAAGGAGTTTTCCTGCAGGTAATCACCACCCCTCCAAAGGCACTGCAGGCTGGTTTCAGCTCTCATATTGATTTGGCTGATCAAGATTTGAAAACCTCACACAATTCTGAGTGTCCTTCAGGAGCTGCAGCACCACATCACACACACAAGGCAAGTGGGGATGTCCAGGGGGAGGATGCACAGCCTGTTTCAGGTAAGGATGGGTGCATGCCCAGCTCCACACACTCACCTCTGTGACCAAGACCTTTTTTCTTTACACCAGAGTCACAAGCACCAAGCTCAGATCCTTTCATGGCCGTGAGCAGCATCCTGTCATCTTCTCACTCTGCTTCTCCATCTATCCTACAAACCACACTGAGCACTCACCACCTCCTCAGCCACCGGGCTTCTGTGTGCCCTGCTGAATGCACACACAGTTTTGTTATGCAAAAGACAGCACAAAGAGTCCCCTCCGTGCAGCAGCAAACAACACAAACGTTCCTAAATGAGACCAGCCAAACCTAGAGGCAGATCCCAGTAAAATCTATAGGGAAATACAAATTATTCCGCTGCGTGCCTCACTGCCAGGAGGAGTTTTGCAAATGCTCTAATGAAGTCTGGACTGCACCAAGGCAAGACTGTCAGAAATTAATTCCTGATGATCTCCTGTATAGAAGCAGCTCTTCATCTATCTTTTCAGCCAAGTTGCTTCAGTTTGCTTCTTTTCTTTTTAGGAATTAAGAGAACAAGTAATTACATGGGCAGAAATAAAACCAGAAATAAAAAAGAGAGTATCAGAGAAAACCCGTCCAGTCGAGTGGTGGAAGTTGAGGCAAGCAATGTCTGTGAAGAGGCGCCTGCCTCACACAGCCAGGACTCCCATGTCAGAGGTTGGTCAATTAGAACTTTACCAGCAGCAGATTGACTTGAAAATATACAAACCAGCTGGCCCTGATATTTCTGTTTTCTTTGTGTACCCGGCGCTGACAAACACCAGCCATTTTTACATAGCCTTGGGAAAGCTTTTGTTCTGGAAATCATTAGCTTATGCAATTATGGTTTTCTCTGTTGAATGTCACATGTGCAGAGGTCATTGCTGGAGATAGGAAAGAGGCTTCTGTTTGCAGAAGAGGCAGGAAGATGGGCCGCTTTTGGCTGGAATACAGAATACGGCTCTTCACTGGCAGGACACGCGTCCTCCCACGCATCACCTGCCTCTGACTGCCTGCTTTGCTGTGGCCCCTCTCCCAGTGGCCACATGTCCTCTCACCAGGGTTCACACTGGGGCTTCAAGTGAGAAATGTGATGCTGTTGGTAAAAGCTGCTCCAATGATACATCTGCACACCTGGGAGGTGCAAATGGCATCTCAGCTCCAGTGGCCCAAGCGCTAAACACCAGTCACTGGGAAGGAGCAGGTCCCCTGTGAGACTGGGGTGTGGTAGCCTAGGCTGGGGCTGAAGGGTGAGTGGATACTTACATCAGCTTTGGATTAAAATGACTGAAAAAAAGCAGGAAAAAGAAAAACATCATTCTCTAGAAAAACATCCAAATCAACCCAGCAAAGATAAAAGCGTAACAACCAACCCTTGGGATTGTGTTTCTCCAGGGATGGGCAAATGAGCACCTGGCTGGACTCCAGGCTCAGAGCACAGTGCCAAACCTTCTCTCCATGGGGAACATCATGAAGCCCAAGCCCAGCAGCCAAGGAAGACTGAGCAGATACAGCTGCTTCAAAAGTTTTGCCTGGTGCAACACTTGAGATGTGGTGCTGGCTCTTTCCTTGGTGGCATTACCCACCAGGGCCATACCCCTTTTTCCCTCTCATTTAGTACTGCCAGTGCATCACAAGCCAGGTAAATTCTTCCTGAACTGAGCAATTCAAACAAGCTGTGCCTAATAGTGCATCTATCTCGTTGCTATTTATTTTGGCATCTTTGCCTGTTTCAAATCCCACTTAAAGCTGTCTAACAACCAAGATTACGCCACTCACAACTGCCATACAAACATCTCTATTACTGTATGTACACTGGAAAAATTACTCTTTTTTTTCCCCCTTCCTTTTTGCTAATACAACACTGGCAGCAAATCACACTGAGGTAAGAGGGAGGGGTGAGATGATAATTATGCTGTCCAAGTCCAAAGTGTGACACCAACATTTCCTGCTGGCTTTAGACACTGTGGAGACTGGTGTGGGCTTGTAGCACACAGGCACACTGAGAAGGATCCACAGGTGTCCAGTTTAATAACAGTCTCTCTGCACTGCCATCCAATTCTCCTCCAAATAATCAGTCAGGCTTGGTTGGTGTCAGGCAAAACACACATCACCTATAACACCAGACCCTGCTGAGAGCAGCTCTGGAGGCTTCCAGCCTTCCTGAGCGAGGGCAGGATCTGATCTACAAACAAAATGTCCAAAAGGATTTCAACAAAGTGACATTTAAACAATGGCTGAAAATTCATCCAGCCCAGGGCACTCGGCTGCTGCAGCTCTCTGGCTCTTTCCAGTCTCCTGGATGCACACACAAAGCTACCCCAAATCTCCAAAAAGAGAAAAATTTAGAGCTGGGATTTGTGTCAGTTCAGCTGACATGTGTCAGTGAAAAATGAAAGCATTTTCTTTCAAGCAACCCCCTCTGCCTGCTTCACACACTCCCCTTCCCAGGAGCTCCCCCAGCTGCGCAGATTTCCACAGGAAAAGCTGCTTTGTCAAACATATTTTTATATCAAAATGCTTCAATTTTGATGACTTTTCCTGAAATTTCTGATTTTCTTCAGAAATTTGTTGCAATTTTTTTTCCCCGTTGGTTATCTATTTCAAGATTATTTTTCCATATATTTCACCAATTCTATAAAATAAAATATTCAGCTTAGATCTAGATTAAAATGCTTAACACTCAAAAAACGACAACCATCCCAATTTTATTACAGTAGCTCTTTTGAGTCAACTTAAAGTGTTCAGGATTTCCTTTTCAAGGATGTCCCAAGAACTTAGAAAATGGAACATTTCCTGCCATTCTCACACCAAACACACCTGGACATCCCAGAGCCCATAGTAGAAAGTGCTCCAGCTCCACCACAGCACCATTCTCATGCCTGATTTGTTTCCAAATGTTTCAGGAGGGTCTGCACACACCAGGCAGCACCTTCAGCACTCTCACTGTCTGTGCACAGCTCTCCATGAGCTCCCACCCAAGAGGGTGGAACGATGGGATAATCCTGAACCCAGTTCTCACAGACCTTACTTATGTGCATGGCTCCAGATTTGTGCAGTTCAGCTTTGTTTGCATTTTAAGAGCCTTCAAGCAAACATTAGCTGAGAGGAAAAACAGATGGTGCAATTAAAACCCCAAATTCATCCACGACGGGATGCCCTGACAAAGCTTTCCCCGAAAAGCTGAGTGGGGAAGCTGGAGCAAGCAGGCTTTGTTGTCTCTGTGCTGTGCAAGGAAGTGGGTAAAGGACTATTTCTAAAGCTCTAACAGTTTCCTCAAGGCAGAAGATCTGAGAGCCCCAGAAAATCAAGGCAGAAAGGCCCAAAAATGCCCATCCAGCACCTCACTGAAAAATCAACTCAAAGCAGCAGTCAGAGACCAGCATTTTGCTCTGTGCAGCTTTCCAGCAGCAGGGGCAAAAAGCTGAGAGAAACAGCTCTGGAGGCGAGAGAATGGACATCTTTGAGAGGGAAACATGGGCTCAGTTGCTGCAGGGATGAAGTGGAAGAGGATTCCACCTCTGCTCACCAGCCAGTGAACACACAGGGGATGTGCCCCTCCTTCCACACCAGCATCTTCCTACATGGGGGAGCCCAGGGGACCACTGAAGAGCTGCAGAAAGGCCTGGGGAAGCAGGCAGGGCTGCACCTGGAGCACACACAGCAGCTGGAGAGGAGCAGAGGGTGCTGTCAAGGGGCAGAGAAGTGTCTCCACCAGGAACTCGCCCTGGCCCGCAGGGCTGGCCAGCCTGGAGTGCCTTGTCAGTGGCATTCTCATTTGGGAGCCAAGTTAAATTGTTATGTTTTTTTACAAAGAGCTCCACAGAGGCTCTCAAATGTGATTTTGATTACCAGTCATATTCAGGAGCCATTCACCTCCCAGCTTGTGCCACCAGCACCTGGCCCGTAGCATACAACACTCTGCTTTCTCAGGATATGTCAACCTGGCTCAAAAAAACCCCAAACAACCAAGCAAGGTCTTGGCAGCTTTGTCTTTCCTGACAGCACAAGCCCAGACCCTCAGGAGGCAGCATGTGGCTCACAGCACACCCAGGGCTCTTTTTTCCCCTTTAAAAAGCTTCAGCCTTTTTGTGTCTCGACTTGCTCAATTTGCTTTGTGAGTTTGTTCCACCTGATGTCACCACAGCAATTCTCTCATCGTGCTCCCATCAGTTTGGTGTGAAATGCAGAAGGAAGTGTTCTTTGCTCCAGACTAGCACAGCACAAGCCACCTTCTCAGTGTCACAGCAGGCATGGCACAAGGTCAGGACATTTGAGGCTCTTCCACGCTCCCAGAGACAAGAAATAAATGTCACAAAGTCCCCCTGCCTGCCAAATCCAGGCAGAGGCTGCCAGAAAGAGGCTGCCTAAACTTCATAGCCAGAACCTGCACACTCCTTTCCCTGGCACAGGCAGGGCTTGGGGTGCAGAGGATTAGCAGAGAGCTCTGCACCTCCTCAAGAAGCCGGGAATCGCATCCTCCCGGCACAGCTTCCAGGAAGCATGGAAAATCCTTGCTGCATTTCCAAAGGGACCCCATCTCTTCCAGGCACTGATGCCAGCATTTGATGAGCTGCACATCCTCAAAAATTTGATGACTCTGATGTCCTCAAAAACCACCATCATCCAAGAGTACTTGGGAAACCCCAGCTGGGAAGGGATATTGGGAAAGAGGAGCGCTCATCTCCACTGCATTCTGCAGTGCTGTCACCAGCAGAGAACATGCCGAGTGTTTGGTCATATTTCAAGGAATGCTTTTCCATTGATTCCCAAAGGAGGAATTCAGCTTTCCTTTAGAAAGTGAAATAACCCCAAAGGTCACAGCTCTGCTGTTGCAGAAAGAATTTTATCCCATGTTATTTCTAGATGTGGCTGAATCCCTGCCCAAAAGCACTGTTGTCCCAGACAGACAAACATCCTCCTCCCTGCAAACCCCCTTGGATCTTCAGACACACAGACCCCATTTAAAATCACCCCAGGGAGATGTTGAGACTTTATCTCAATTTATTACTAAGCCCCCAGATGTCATTTTACCCTCCTCTATTTCCCCCACCCTTAGCACTCACACAAAACACGGCAGTAAATGCTGTGGCCTTCCCTCAAGAGCTCTTTTTTTCTGTGCAATGCCCTATTTCCCTCCCCCAGGATCCATAGGGAGACTGTACCCCTCATGTCCAAACACACAGAACAAATCCCAACTTTGCAGTGACTGTCCCAGGCTGTGGGAGGGACAGCTTTTTTAGCTTCTTTCACAGCTGTAGATGTTCCTTTTATTTCCATAAGAGGTTTCAAGGAGGGCATTTCTTGAAAAGCTCTCTCTCCCACAAAAATCCAGTCTGCTCCTTGCTTTTATCTCTGTAAGAAGGACAGAAGACCTGCTACCACAATCACTGTGCTCACTTGCTTTCAAGTCCACAGAATCAGGGGATATATGCCTGCATCCAACGCCAGCGCTAGCCATTTCCAAGTCATCTGCTCCAGTAGCTTATTCCAAAGTATGTTTGGTTTGATTTTCCTTTTTTTTTTGTGGGGGCTTGGAGCAAAGAGGCTTTCAAAATATGCCCATGAATCCCTGTGGAGGAAGGTTGCACAGCAGGTTGTTCAGCTGCGTTATAGGAACTGTAATCGAAGGTGTAGGAGAACAGAGCCAGAATTAGGATCCTGAAGCCAAGGAACAGCAGATCCCCATGGCTTTGCTGTCTCAGTCTCTGCAAAACTTCCCAACCCACCTCGTTCTGTGCTGTGGCAAGTGGTGTTTTCCATGACGCTGCTGTAGGAGCGTGGAATCCTTCAGCTCAGGCCAGCTCATGTACAGAAGAGACATCGTGTCTGTAAGCAGAGAAGTGGGATGAGAAACATGAGTGATGCTCTCCAAGGCAAGGGCTGGAGCATCACAGAGTGTCACTGGTGATGGGACCCCCAAACCTGGCCCAGGGGGACCCCAGGGTTCCTGTGCACAGCCCCCACAGTGACAAACAGCCAGGGAATAGATGCTGAACATTGATGGGCCCCTGAGCACCTGCTCTGCACAGCATCTGTGCACAGACTTCGTGCTCAGGATCCTTGGCTAATTAAAAAAAAAAAAAAATGCAGCTTAAAAAATCTCACTTGTCACGAGACAGCTAAAGACTTGACATGCAAATCTCTATTACTGCAGGAAGTACTCGAGGTAAAAAACAAAAACACCAGCAACCAGAGACAGAAACGAACAAAATGTACCAGGAAAACTACAGCAAAGCTTTCATTTTTCTTCCTTTTTTTTTTTTAAACAAAACTCCTTCTCTTCCTCATGCATTTTGGAAAGCAACTTCTGATCCTCTCAGAGCCAGGAAAGGCCCCATCAACAAGGGTGAGGAACTCATCAAAGCTTCATTTTCATTCTACCTCTGGACTATCAAACTCCCAAATTAGGCATATTCCCAGCAACACTCTGCGACAAATGTATCACCCACACCTCAGCTCAGCCTAGAAGCAGACGGCTGCCCTGAGAAAACCGTGCCAGACCGCCTGCAAAAAAAAAAAAATAAATATTAAAAAAAGATATTTTTAAAAAATTTAAAAAATAAAAAACAAGAGGAAAATGTAACTTTGCAGCTGGGAATCTTGACTGTCTCCCAAAGTAGCATTAATCCACCTCACCTTCCTAAACTCCACCAGGAAATAGCTGCAAGAAAGGGGTGGAAGAGGAAAGAACCACTTATGAAGCATCAGCTGCAGTCTAATTAGAGCTATTAGCAAGCTCTTAGTGGTGTTTATTAGCCCTTACCCAGCGTTGCTGAATGAAGCAATCCTGACATCAGCCTTCTGGCTTGGAGAGCCACACACCAACCCCAGCTCGAGGAAGAGAAAGGTTCAGAAAGGCCAAGCTGGTTTCAATCACAGCTGCAGCTCAGAGCTTGTTTTGATCCCATAGAAACAAAGGCCCCAGATAAGAGGAACCCACCCTGCCTAGGGCAGGAATAAGATGGCCCAGTCAGATGGGTTCCATCATGATATGTCTCTGAGCTAGAGGTTTCCTGCTCTGATTTATAGCTACTGAGTCATTCGGAGGTGACAGCATCACTCTGCCTTGGCTCTTCAGAGAGCCAGGGATTGCCAACCACCCACCCCGGGGATCGGGACAAGATGCTCTCAGAACCAGCTCCAGCTCCAGAACCCAGGAACCCGCTCCGGAACCCGCTCCGGAACCCGCTCTAGAACCCGCTCTAGAACCGCTCCGGAACCCGCTCTAGAACCTGCTCTAGAACCCAATCTAGAACCGCTCTAGAACCCGATCTAGAACCTGCTCTAGAACCCGCTCTAGAACCCGCTCTAGAACCTGCTCTAGAACCCGATCTAGAACCTGCTCTAGAACCCGATCTAGAACCCGATCTAGAACCTGCTCTAGGGCCGCTCTGGAACCTGCTCTGGAACCTGCTCTGGAGCCTGCTCTGGAGCCGCTCCGGAACCCGCTCCGGAACCCGCTCCGGAACCGCTCCGGAACCCGCTCTGGAATCGCTCTGGAACCGCTCCGGAACCTGCTCTAGAACCGCTCCGGAACCTGCTCTAGAACCTGCTCTAGAACCGCTCCGGAACCCGCTCTAGAACCTCTCTAGGACCGCTCCGGGACCGGCTCCAGAACCGGCTCCGGCTCCAGAACCGGCTCCAGAACCTGCAGAAGCAGGGCCTGGCGGGTCGGAAGATATCGGGATGTATTGGAAAGATAGTAACCCCCCTCCTCTTTAGTATGGTAATACCTCCTGCAATTAGCCAATAGCACCTAGGTGTGATGAAAGCAGATGGGAGTAACACAGGGACCCTAGGTTATAAAAGGTCAAATTCTCCAGCAATAAACACCATTTTGCCATCCATCACATTGGTGTCTGTGTGCAATGGACTGAGTGGCCTGGGCATGGCCACCGTGCTGTTCTTGAACCAGGGTGTCTGCCTTGCTTAAAAGACAAAAAGAACCTGCTCTAGAACCACTCCGGAACCCCTCTAGAGCCTGCTTCAGAACCTGCTCCAGGACCAGCTCCAGAACCGCTCCTGGAGCTGGCCATGCCAGGGATTGCCAACCACCCACCCCAGGGATCGGGACAAGATGCTCTCAGTAGATGAAGCACAAGCCCTGAGCCCAGCTCAGGACAAGTTGGCCATGAGTTGGACAGGATTAAAATAAGATTTACATCTTCAGTTGCACAAAACATTCATCACTGCTGTTGGATGTCTTCAGCCTGCAAATAGTTTGTCTGACATGAGGTGTTTCTTAAACATGTCATGCCTTTCAAAGGACACGCAGCCAAAAGCTGCATGCCTCAAGCAGGGCTAATCTCCCTGGAGTCTCTTATAGTAGCATATTTCAAGGCTGTTTATCATACAGAAGGGACATTTAAAAATATACAAATGAATGTTATAAATCACAGCCTTTTCCTGGGAAGGAGCAGGAGGAAGAAACCAACAATCACTCAATGTTGAGGAAATTTATATGGAGGGATCTTAGCTCTGGGCTTACCACAGCCAGCAATCATTGCTTCAGCAGGGCCAAAAACACATAATCAGAGCACCACAATAAATGAAAGTACTTGGGAAACTCAAAACATACTTAAGGAAACACTGAACTCCCATATATCTTTCTCAAGCGCATGCATAGTCAGGTAAAATCTTTCATATCTCCGTGATAGAAAAGCTGCGTTGTTTTTGTGGTGTAGCTACCACAGTTCACAGTCTTTACAACTATTTCCTTTACAGATAAGCAGGTTTCTACCATCTCAACAGACGGGTTTGTCAGAGGTGCTGCTGAAGGAGGAAACCAAACAGAAAGTCTGAACTGCTGGGGCTGAGATGAGTACCTGAATCTCTGAGCTGTCTTCCCTGACTCATTCCCAGTGTGTGTGACAACCAACTGCTGTGGTCACAGGGTTTTGAAAGACAAACATGCATCTTTCCAAGGTTGTGGCCACAAAGGGTTGCTTCTGCAATGCTTTTCAGGACAGTGTTGATGGAAGCTGCCTCTGGGGCCCGGCTGATGTGGCCAGCAGCTCTGCAGGATGTTGCCAAGCCATGCCTTGGCCATCCAGCCCCACAAAACCAGCACAACCTCCCTTCTGGATTGAGCAAGCACTGTGCACCACCAAGGTGTTGCTGCCATCACAGCCACCTACAAGCAACTGCTGCAGGGGTTCTTTTGGAAGACAAAATGTGGTGAAAAGAAACTGATTTCATCTCAAGCTCGTGGCTTCCAAAAAACAGTTGTGTTCAGCAGAGTGACCATGCTTTGCTCTCACGTCAGCCTGTGCACCCTGCAGCCTCACAGGGGTTGCACATCAAGCCGTGGTGCTGGAAGGTGGATTTTGGCAACTCTACCAAGTCAGCCTCAAACTCATGAGAGGGAGAAGCTGCTAGCATGCTCCTGATCCATGACCCTTCTGCTGATCCCCCCTGAGCATATTGGAAGGGAAATGCCACATTTTCCTTTCCAAGACCAAACATCACTGAGATGCTGGGGAGGGTGAGCCTCCAGCATGGAAATCCAGGAAGGATTCCTGATACCTGGAATTCACATCATCCCATCCAGCTCTAGGCACAGCAGCTCTCTGCCTGCTGCCACTGAAGCCCTGTGTGAACACCCAGCCCTGCAAGGAAGCACTGCTCAGTCTCAGGGATGCCTGCAGGTGAAGATGTGAAATGTGAATAAAGAAAGCAGTTTGTGCAGAAAAGTAATGACCCTTTTGGGATCCTCCCAGTTTATACACAATTACATCAAGCAGCTAAAATGAACGAGTGCTCGGCAGAAAAGGGAGGCAGATAATCCACGTGTGTAAAGCCCTGCAGCTCCCAGAAGCAGTAAACGATGTAAAGCAGAGCTGACATTTGAGGATGCATATGATCCTCTAGTTTATGTATGCCAGGACATCTGCTACTGTGACCTCACACAGCTAAAACTTCCCCTGTCTTCACCTACTGCTGCTGCTGAGCATAGCGTAGAGTAACTCCCTGAGCTGAGCCGCATGCTGGGGATTCCACTCCTTCATGCCAATTTATAGCCAATTCAGGATTTCAGCAACTATTATTTATCACCAGGGCTCCCCACTAACCGTTACCACATTGGTGAGAAGTTATTCCAAATGAGTTTCCAAATTAGCGGCTCTGAATTCATTTCTTTTATGTTGGTTTCAGTTTATGAGGGATGTCAGAAAATCACAGGATCCCACTCAGGGTAAATTACCTGGGGATTTTATGCATGATCGTTCTGCTAAGCTGCAAAGGCAGCCAGCTCTGCATGCTGCTCACAATGCCTAAGGCACCAGGGAGGATGAGCCCAACTGCTTCCAAAGGGTGATCAGGTTGGAAAGGTGCTTAAAACACCTTGCAAGGGTGGATGAGGCTTCCCCTTGCAGATTAGAGCATGCCCAGGCTACGTACCACTCTCCCACACCCTGAAAGGTAATTCCCCTCTCCCTGAATTTATCTTTACTGAATGAGAGAGGAAGCAAGCATGTGGTCTCTTTCTGCCTGATTTTATTCTCTGAGACAAGAGCTTTTCTTCTCAGCAGAAAGCAAACTGGGGCTTGTTTTGTTTAGATGCGAAGAAATAGCAGGTCTTGACTCCACAGATTTCTGGCAACAGTTACGCCTTGGAAAAACAGTTGTGTTGGCAGGAAAGTGAAAGACTCCTGTTTTCTGGAGCAGCCTTTGGCCTCTGTGGATGCATTTCCTGATCCCAGACAGATGGAGCACGTCTCCTACCCTGCTGCACTCCCATGATTTCTGCTCCAGGATCCTTGTGCCAAGTCAGACTGGCCCAGGCGATGGGGCAAGAGTCAAAGGCACCAGACCCCACCAAGAGGGCTGGGAACAGGAGCTTGTGCACAGGCAGCAGTGTTAAAGATGTCCAGGAATGTCACTTCTACTTACAGAGGTGGAGGAACAGGTCAAGGAGGAGCAGCTGAGGACCAGCTCCTCCATCACATCAGAGTGGCTCCAGTAAAAGTTCCTCAGGGTGCAGATTGGTCCCATGCACCTGCCTGAGGCTGATTTTATGCTGGAGTCTGAAGGACAAGAGCTGCATGGTGGGCTGAGAGACAAGGCAGAGACACAGGGCAGAAAGACAGGTGAAACAGGCCAAAATAAAATTGTCCCTGGCCATGCCCAAAGCTGTAGAAGGACCACAGCACATGGGAGGAAAGAAACAACTGTTTGCTCTTCTTGAAAAGTCTTCTGGCTGGGATCCAGTTTATCTCATGCAGAGCCTTCCTTTGGAGTGAGGATGGATTTAGCCTCCAACACAGGAATGATGAGTGTCAGGAATGACAGAAATGGAGGAGCTCTCCCCAGGGCACCAGGGACAGGAGGGACTGTAACAAACTCTATAGGCTGGCCTTCCCAAAATCATGGTGGTGTTTCAACAAGAGCTTTGGCCTTTCTATTTCCCCTTTTTTTTTTTTTTTTTTTTTAAGGCATGTGGCCAAATAAAAAAATCTAGTTCTGTCCAGCTGCCTCCAGCCTTGCATTACCAATCCTTCCCTAATGATTCTTCTGGGAACCACAAACCCCAAATCCTGCACAACTCTCATGCTCTCTTTCTGCCCTGCAAGATGGACACAGCTGATTTTTACGTTCAATTTCCCAGTTTGGAAATGAAGCAGTAAAAAAAAGGGAAGGTGAGGTTTCTTTCCAATTCCCCCTTCAATGTCAGGTCAGGCCAAGGCTTGTGGAGGGACCAGAGTAGAACAGCTGCCAAACTGCATCTCTGAACGCCACTCAGAACCTGGTGATGCCCCCAGAAATAGAAGATCTCTGGATAAAAATAACCCTCTGCGACCATTTCTCATCTTAATCTTCAGGAGCAAGGGACTTTCTGTTCTTGTGGACCCTCTTCCACCTCTGTGCAGCTGCTTGGGCCCTTGGTCCCAGCCCAGTGCTGTGCTGCTGGCTGCCCTCCTGATGGACTCTGCTGTGTATCCCTCTCTAAGTAAAAAACCAGCTGGGTGGTGAGTCTGGGGACGGGTGCACAGAGATGCCTTCAAGTCTCCTTTAGTGGTTTTGAACCTTTGATCTCTGGAACGTGTATTCCAAGCCCAGAAAGGGCTTTTGTGCTGGCCAAGGAAATAACTACTTAAAAGGACAGAGAGAGAGCTGACAAGGGATGGGGAAAAGGATTGTGCTGCAAAGGAAGAAAAGCAGCCTACCCCTATGTCTTGAAATGCCCAAGACATAAAGTGAGAATTGGCAAAGGTCAGGCTGAATTGGCTCTTGCAGA